ACGCTGATGGACTGTCTATTCCCTTCCCAGGATATCCTAGGTCAATGGGCATTTTTCACTTTTAGCACTTATTACTTAAGAACACATGCTAAAAAGATTTCTCTCGTTTTGAGAACATAAATATATTACTCAAAGTATAGATAGCATGATCTTCTGTGACGTTTAAAAGTTGTCTCATCCCAGAAATGAATGTGCTTGTGAAAAGAGGATAAGTATAAGAAATTGACTTAAAATGTCATTGGGGAACTCACTAGTCCAAGGAACTTGTGAAGATTTTTCTAAAGCTAATAATAATAGTAATAACAACAATATTTTTATACTTTGCAATTTCATGTGTAGTATCAATTTACATACTTTTTGTAAATGTGAGCTGTCTTTTCCCCCTTCTGTTTTAAGGCAAAAGGAAGAGCTAACAATATCTCTGGCAAGATTTGATACTGATAGGGTTGGAAATGATACCTGAAATTAACCGATCTCAGGGTAAAAAGAAGCCTCTTTCCAGGATGTCTTTCTGCAGATTTAAAACTATTCTTTCAAATGAAGCCATTAATCTATGTAGATTTGATTTTTGCATAAAGTATGAAGTAGGCAATCAGTATTACCAGTAAATGATCCTAGCATCATGTATTAAATTTTTCACTGTTTCCTCTTTGATCTGTGATGCCAGATATTTTATCTCAGTGTTTTGTATACATGTGAATTTTTTTCCATGCCTTTTCTAGTCTATTGTTCTATTTCTATAACAATACTATGCTGTTTTGAAAATTACTGATTTTTAAGTAGATCTTAATATTTTGTCCCCAAAGTCTTCCATGTAATTCTTTTCCAAGAGTACCCCAAACTATTCTTAATCTTTCACTCCTACATACACATTTTAGGACCATCTTTTCACTTTCTATTGAAAGTCCTTTTAGGATTTTGAGTGAAGTTATATTGATTTTCACCTTGAATTTGGGGATTATTGATACATTTATTATGCTCTCTTCCCTTTTATGGACTTGAAATGTTGCCGACTTATGTAGGTCTCTTTTCTTGTCCTTCAATAATTTTTTCATTTGATTTTTGCTCCTGGCTGTCATGCTTTACACGGATCAAATCACATAACATAGAATGTGGGAGCCAACATAGTACTTTAAAAACAGAACTCAACCCAAACTATACCTTATGTCCAGACACCATTTTCATATTCTCTTGAAAGATCTTAGAAATGAGTAAAAGAAAGCTACAGAAAACGGACTCTCCCAAAGTCAGTCAACATCCCCAAAAGTCAGGCGGCACAAGTGCTGGCAAGATTTGAGACAAGAATATCCAACAAATTGGAAAATTGATTGGAAAAACAAATGGACATTATGTAATATTGTTATAGTCTTTCTTGACTACTAAGGAATAATTGTATTCCTGTGTTACTCTTATTAAATATAGTAATTGCTAGCCAATTGTTACTCTTTAAACTTAAGTTGAATTAAATAAAATTTAAAATTCAGTTCTTTAGTAGCCTTAGCCACAATTCAAGTGCCTGACATCTCTAGGTAGTTACAGTAGCTACTGCACTGGACAGCTCAGACAGGGGTCATTTCCCTCATAACAGAAAGTTCTCCCTTTCTTAGGCTCTTCCTAAACAATCCCTTGAACAAAAAATAATAGTAAGATTATTCATGATAGCATTATATATAACAAGAGGAGAAAAAAATCCAAGTATTTATCAATAGCAAAATGGACAGCTCAAACTCCATATATTTATAGACTGTCATCAATGAACTGTACATCAGTATGCACGCACTGAAAAATATTTTGTTGTGTTCCACAAAGCAAGTCATAAAGGCAAACATATATGGATTTGGGGATTATTGACACCATTGCTGTACTGTCTTTCCTTTATGGACTTGAACTGCTATTATATTTATGTAGATCTAATTTTGTCCTTCAGTGATTTTTTTGTTGTTTGTTTTTTACTTCTAGGTGTCATTCTCTACAAGGGTCACATCACATAATATAGAACGTGGGAGCCAACACAATACTTTAAAGATAGTGCTATTACTATATGTATATTATTAGTTATTTTATATAGATTTACTCCAAAGTCACAAAACACTTCTGAGTGGGTAGCAAGAATAATGCAATGTTTCTGAAGTGGGATCAAGGAGGAGAGAATTCCTAAGAACCTAGAGTCATGCTCAAAGGTCTTCTAAATTCACTGGGTTCTTGTCAGTCAAGGGAGGTCTGTTGATTGAATCTGCTTAGGTTATTTCCATCACTTCCAGACAATAGCATAATTCATAGGATGCTTCCAATGGTGCTAGATTGAATCCTAGATCTCACTGAGAATTCACTAAAGATCAATGTTAGATCTTTTCACTTTGTACAGTTAGGGAACGAGTCCTTACAAAATTGTCCCCAAACTTTGTCAAGCAGGGGCTCTAGGGTCTTTTGTGGTGGGATCAAAAACTGTGATTTGTAATTAGTATTTTGATTTTTGCATGTGAGATCTCTCCATATTTTTTAAGGTGGTATTTGTTTTATAGTTGGTTCCATAATGCAGTGATCTTCAGTTTACTCTGAATGAATTTTAACACATTCCAAATGATTGGAGTTTAAAATAATGATAGTTGCAAAAAAGTAGGATATATTGTGTCTAGAAAACTCAAGATGGAGAAAGGATATGGAGATAGTTCAACCTTTCAAAGTCAGATGAGTCATCAGGAAAATCTTCCAGAATGAAACTTTATAGCCAAAATCTAAGTCTTATGTCTAGAAGGGCAAAGAAGCTGGTGTCTCCTTCCTGCAGGCACGAGGCCAGGCTCTTTTCTTGTCCACTCTAGCACGGTGTGGGGCTTCAGAACCTTCACGAAAGATGCATTTCCAGATGTTGTAGGTTATGAGATATACTGATGGTCATTTTTACATTTTGTCTTTTAATCAGTTACAAATTTTGGTGAGGAAATGATTTAAGTGGTTAACTACATAATTTCTCTAATACCAAGTACAGGGAAGACAGTGAAATCCCTGTTGCATTTTTTTTTTTCTTTCTGAGACTGTAAAGAGCTAGAACTTTGCAACATGCATGCACATCTGTCCCTCTGACCTTTGAAAAAAGCACTCCCGGGAGCTGTGAGTACGACCACTTGTGCGGCTGTCCTGCGGCTTTTACACACACATGCCTGCCATTCAGAGTTTTGGAGTGTGCGTTGACATCTGTGTGTGAGTGCGTGTGTGTGAAGATAAACGGGTCCTCGTTTTGATCAGGATATGGTGCAGGGACGTTGCTGGCATACTGTAAGTTTAAAATGTACCACCCACAGAATGGGTTATGGCTTTAGGACTCACTAAAGAGCAAAAACTTTAACAAAAATAAACACTGAATTAAAATCAAGTACTGGACAAATGGATAGTTGCCTACTACTAAACAATTCTATGTCACATAAAAAATTACTATAAAATTTTACAAGTCAGGGGTAGAGAGGATCAGAAAAAGACTGGAAACCTCAGAGGGCCAAGGAGAAAAAGGCCAGTAGGACATTGTAGTTAACTGAGTGGAGTTAATATAGGGGAATTTAAAAACTTGTGAAAGGCGCTATTCTCTTAATCTACCTATGATCATTGAACACAGCATTAGGTTGCCTGATTTGTCGCTCAGAGAATACACTGAACAAATAAAACAGATACCATTACCACTGCCCTAGAGGGAAAACCATCCCCTGGAATTGTCCTCAAGGTCACCCTGATCACACTCTGTCTGCAATTGCCACCGCTTGGGGTGCAAAGTGATAAGCCTGATTTGTCTTTCTTAAATGGAATGCAAAATTAATTTACCATGTTTTTTCCCGGACCAAGGCATTTCCAGTTTTCACCTGCCTAGTAATTTTGTTTACCAAGCTTTTTGCTGGAGGCTTTGATGACCAATCAGATTTAGTTTTGGAGGTGAATTTGGCAGAGATTTTGGTCATATGGCTTTTATTAATTGATCATACAGACAAAAGGCTTGAGGTCTACATTCAGCTGTTAGTGCTACCAGGCTCCTAACTATGACTGCTCAGCATAGAAATGGTCTGGAAATTGGTCAGTATTTCAGAATCATCCCTCAAGTCACACACTAAGAGAATAGTGGGAATCAGATTGAGTTTAACCTACAGTGCTATATCATTTTGTAGATTTGTGGCTCCATCACCTTGTGATTTTTAGCAGACTATATAATCTGTGGTTCCTCTATATGATAAGGATAATAATAGGTTATTATAAGGAACACTTTATATGATATTCATAAGGCATGCCATACAATGCCTGTTTGTGGGAAGCACCTAGCAAGTTATAGTAATCATTATATTTGTGCACTTTCTCTCATCTTAAAATGCCATTTTAGTTAGGTCCAACTTGTAGAGAGAAGGATATTGATCTTGAAGCTCAGACTTTCCTGTCTCTCAAAAAAGATATATATGCAAAGATGTATAAATTCATTTTACCTATTTAGCTTGAAGATGTTGACTAATCATTCTTCAGAAATATTTATTTGAGGGTATAACCCATCATTTAAATTAGTATCACTGTTGATATGTATTTTGTTGATTCTGAATATCTAATATATGCATGTGTGAAACTGAGCCCTATAAAAACAGAACTTAAGCTTTCCTGCCAAAGGGAAGTGAATTAGAAGGAAGAATTGCAGGGCCTTTGCAAAGAGAAAGTTGTCCTATCTTCCTAACCAGTGTCAGAATGTGGAAATGTTTACAAAATACTCATTAAGAGAAAAAAGGAATTGCAAGATAGAAACAAAATCTGGTCCTCAAGTTTACACTGGGGAGATAAGAAAGGCTAGGCCCCTATAGGAGATTTTGTTCTCCAATTACTGCAACCTGACTTTTGGAGGGGAGAGGAAGAGTGGTCGGGGGAGGGAGAGAGAGAGGAAGGGTTTCCAAACTTGTCTCCAGTGACACGAGACATTTTCGCTCTGCAAGATAAAACTGCCACTTAGAGCCCAGGAGAGAGCTAAACCTTCCAGAGTTGGCCTGGGGGCTCGAGCGGAGTCATGGGCTCCTTGGTCCTCTGCCTGTACACTGTCTTCTGCCTGGTGGCTCGCTCGGTGTCTGGCAGTCCCATCTTGGGCCTTGAGCGGTCACCCCTGGAAGAAGATATGCCTCTCTTTGATGATGTCTTCTCGGAGCAGGATGCTGTTGACTTTAACATGCTGCTGCAGAGTATGAAGGATGAATTTCTCAAGACGCTGAACCTGTCTGACATCCCGACGCAGGATTCAGCCAAGGTGGACCCACCAGAGTACATGTTAGAACTCTACAACAAATTCGCCACAGATCGGACCTCCATGCCCTCCGCCAACATCATCAGGAGTTTCAAGAATGAGGGTGAGTTTTTATTTTTGCTGATGAACTTTTTTTCTTTTTCTTAGAAGCAATAAGTAAATATACAACACAGGAGATGATACGGATAAGGGTGAATGTATTAATTTAAGGGTAAGTGTACACAAATGTGCAAGAACATTTGTGTCTATCTCAGCCACAGTGTCATTGCAGAACCCAAAAGGTACTTTAAAATGACTTCTTAAAAAACCCATACAATGTCTATCATTTTGAAATCATAATGACATCTTTTAAGTTTTAAGATTTGGGCACCGAGTAATAGAAGAAAATTACTGTTGGTCTGTTGATGTATTTTGTTTTTTTTCCAAACAGGACCCTCTTTCCAGTTTGGATTTTAATTGCTCACAGAATTTGTCAACTTGTACTTAGAATGAAATTGGTGAAAACAATACCAGACCAAAAAGTTGAGATTTGTGTATTGTTTGGAAAGTTTTCATTTCCATCAGTTTAAGAAATGTCCAAACAGAGGCAGATTTGCATTTGAAAGACTCTTCCCAAAGTAGTCTTGTTTTTACATGCTCTTGGAGCAATTTTGAGAGTTTCCAGGAAGTGTTCATGACCTGGTTAATGATGTAGCTTATCATTTCTATGTCTTTACAAAGAGTAATGCAAAAGATTTAAGTTATTTTTGGAAAAAATGTAGCTCTCATCTCCACACACTACTGATCTAGCTAACAAGTTAGCAAGTTGATGCTTTGATTAATATGGTACTAGTGGACAAAATTAATCAAGCAGTCTAACATCTATGGTAGAGGCCAAAGAAATTATTTCATTGATGTGTTTCAATTAAGCTTTTATAATCATTAAACAGATACAAAAGGAGTCTTTACTGATGTTTGACAGATATTCTTGAAAGAAGTAAGGCAGATGCAGAGAAATATCTTTGAATTTGGGATTTTGGGAGCTGGTTGATCTGAGTATTATGGGTAATTAGCTTAATTTATCTAAGCCTCAGTTTCCTCATCCATAAAAGGGGAACAGTAGTACATAACACAGTTGAGTGTATCATAAGAGGTTGCAAGTTAAGAAAGGATACTGTTTACTATGAAGTGCTGAAAAAACTTAAGACTATGAATCACTTACTTAGTATGCTAGTCATTGCAGTATATGTGGAGAAGCTAATCTTCAGGCCTCAAGTTATTATTTGCCTTTCAAATTTAATTGATGGAAACCATGTCTATTTAGTAACATGTCTAATGGAAATGGCAAGCTGAGATCACAGATTCACTTTAGAGAAGCATCTGAGTTGAAAATGACAAACCTCCTTCTGCGGAATCCTTGCTAAAGCTTCTCAGCACGGAGCTCTAAGTGTGCAGCTCAGGCTGCGGGTGGGAGTGGAGTGCAATTGTTGTTTGCAAACCCTGGGAAAGCAGAAATGATTCCTGCTCTCACTGCTCCCGTGGAGGACCTGGATAATCCAGGTCAAGGTGCGCAGTTTATCCAGAACAGTGAGGGCAGAAGCTTGTCTCTGAGTGGATATCTAGTCCCTACATCTCCCAGTCTGTGGGAGGAATTTCAAAGTGCAAAGATGCGTACCCCTCACTGGCTTCCCACCGTGGCCACTGTCACCTCTCTACTGATCCTTTGAGTTCGCTCAGTACAGCTTCCTTGAAGAAAAAGACCAAGAAATCTCCAAACTTAACTCAGCTAGGGAAAAAAATGGAAAAAAGACCCCTTCAGTTCCTAGACACCCTCTATTCTCTCCTTTGATATTTGATTTCTTCTGGTGCAAAATGAACAGAGGATAGATATTTGCTTTGTGAGGTCATTATAAGAGCCACATAAGACCGTGTCTGTAAACACCCGGCTTGTAGGATTTGTTAGGAAAGTTAGTTTTTTTTCTCTGAAATGCAGCTCCTGTGTATCACGCACTACCTCTATTCATGCAAAAAAAAAAAAAATTGTCAGTGAGTTTATTTCTTGAGAAACACCTTTTCTGAGATAAACAACATAAAGAAATCCATATATACGTAAAGCACATAACTGATAGGTTTTAACTATTTTTAGTAATACATGCATACCAATGTTTATACTGGTAGCAGCACAATTCATAATAATTAATTCTTGGAAGCAGTGCGTACATCCATTAACAGATAAATAGATAAAGAAAATGTGGTATCGGCACTCAATAGAGTGCTATTCTATCATAAAAAAGATAAACTCGAGTCACAGAAGGTTATATATCATGTGGTTTCTCTTACATGAGAAAACAAAATTAGAAAAAGGACAAATAAAAAAAGATAATTGAAAGTTGGGAGAGAGCTCTTCATTAAATGAGAAGAGGATCAAGAGATGGTCAGAGAGGGAGGGAAAGAGAATGAAAAAGAATTAAGATATGCTATTCACATATACCAACTCCACACAAGGAATACAAACATTAGGTCCTAAAATATGTACTAATAAACATTATGTAAATATCCATTGAAACCATCACCATGACCAAAGAGTGAATATACCATCATCTTCAAAAGTTTCCTTTGTAATGTATTCTTGTCACTCACTGATATTTTAGTCTGCATTTTTAATACAAAAGGAACAACCAGTCTACTCTCCAGTTTTGGTCTTTTACTTTCCCTGTAGAAAGGAAATTATCACCTCCATTTTCATATTAGAGTGACAATTCCCAAGCTATTTCTGTTTCTTAGCCCAAAGCTCGATGATGTGTTAAGGGCACATGTCATGCCCTTGAATCAATTGGCCTGGTGCCCAGAATCATCAACTAAGTAATGTTTTTAAGGCTCTATCTTTGTTTAAGACATCATGGTAGTCTAGAAACAGCAAAGAAGCTGAGCCATGGTAATTGCCACTAGAATGATGGAATGATTTTAGCAGTCCAACTGGGAAGACTCATTCATAAAATGACATCTGAAATATACAGACATAAATGAAAAAGCCAAGGCAGAGACAGAGAGTGTGTCTACAATGGACTAAGCATTCAGTGAGGGACTCGAGGAAGGCAGGATCTTGCAAGGGAAGGCCAGAGATGGACAGATGAAGACGGACCAACTGCACTTTCGAAGGGTCAGAGGGTGCATTCAAGTGCAAAGGGCACAATGAAAGGAGTCTTTCTGCAAGCAGGATGTTGTCAGCCTTCAAACAAAGGAATTTACAAATTCATCCAGCTGTTCCACAAATATTAATTGAGCATTTGTAATTTTCCATGCATTATAGAAGATGAATGGAAATGGATCAAGACATTAGGACCTGGTTGGGTCTTGAGGGCCAGGTCAGTGAGCTTAAATTAAATCTATAGGTGAGTATTTCCCACTGGTAGATGGTTTGAATCAGCACCCAGAAGAAGCCACAGAGAATGTCTACTTTTATTACAGTAGTTTTATTTTTATCCTTGTAGCACTGAGGATTGAACTCAGGGCCTTTGCACTCAGATTTGTAGCCAGGCATGACAGTGCTTAGCTATAATCTAGCACTCTAGGAGGCTAAAGCTGCAAGACTGCAAAGTCAAGCTCAGTCTGGGCAATTCAGTGATGTATTCTTATGCTCTGTTGTGCCTGTCTACTGTAGATTAAAAAAATATCTTCAAAGAGCTACCACCTCAAGGATAGTCTTCAAGTTCCTTTAGGACATAATAAGTATAAAATAACCAGATATAGTTACAGAAAAATAATGAAAGGGTAAAATCTTCAGAAGGGATTCTGCTGAAAACACAAATTTGGTGCACAATTAAGGAAACGTTGCCAAAGATGTTCGAGAACCCTTCAGCTGGTGGACCTTAGCATTTTTGGTGCTGCAGGATCTTTTGACAACCTGAAGGCAAATGTCCTTATAGATTCATTATGATACTTATTACCTAAGGAGAGTGTGTGAGAACTTTGGCACTATAAAATTCTATAGTAGGAATCAAGATGATGGTGATTGGAGGGCTATGCCTAAGACCACAGGACTTTTATAAGTTGTTTCATATAAATTCTTGAGTGATCTGTATGCGGCAAACTCCATGACAGAGAGGCAGTCAGTCTACCCCAAAGATTCAGTTTGTGTTTCTCCTCCTTATAAAGGGACCACACACCCTCAAGTCAACTTCTGTGACCCCTGGGCTTTTGGCTGTTGTACTGACCTTCTTTGTCTTTGTGGTCAAGAACCAGAGTCAGCAGACATTTTCTGTTAAAGGTTAGACAGACAGTGACTATTTTAGGCTTTGCAGGCCATTAAATTCTGTGCTGCAACTAATTATTACATTGTAGAGCATAAGTAACTATAGACGGTAGAAAACCAAATGAGTCGGGCTGTATTTCAATAAAACATCATTTTTGAAACCACGGGGCCATAGTTTGCCAGGCCCTGATCTAAATGGAGGTCTTTCAGGAATCCCAGAGCCCAACCATATAAAATCTCCACCTATTACGCAAATATGAAAATCCATGAAATCCTTATCCATGAAAAAATGCAAGAAGAGAATCACTGCCACCACGTATCCCATTTGCTAACTTTATATTTGTTTGAAAAACTCAGTGCTTTCCAACACAGCCTCCACGTTCCTCCAAGCCCTGTACCTTTTGAGACAGGTGAGCCATGCAGGCTTTCTCCTATCCCTTAGGCGGCCGTTTCCATGTGACTCTTACAGCCTTAACTCAGCTTAGCATTTACCACTGAACTTTCAGTGTTTTCCAGATCACAGAATGCTGACATTTTTCTTGTTTGCACTGTTCTTCTCTCAGTCGCTACCTATCAAGCTTCCTGTGTATGAACACCCTCCTTTTATGTAAACAAACATCTGTTTCTCCATAAGGCATATTGTATGTCTGATTTTTGCCAATATTTTTCTTTTCAGATCTATTTTCGCAATCAGTCGCTTTCAATGGGCTCCGAAAATATCCCCTCCTCTTCAACGTGTCCATCCCTCACCACGAAGAAGTCATCATGGCTGAACTCAGGTTATACACGCTGGTGCAAAGGGATCGCATGATATATGATGGAGTGGACCGGAAAATTACTATTTTTGAAGTATTAGAGAATGAAGGAGACAATACAGGTGAAAGAAACATGATGGTCTTAGTGTCAGGAGAGATCTATGGAACCAACAGTGAGTGGGAAACATTTGATATCACAGATGCCATCAGACGTTGGCAAAAGTCAAGCTCGTCTACCCACCAGCTGGAGGTCCACATTGAGAGCAGACACGACCAAGTGGAAGACATTGAAAGGGGACAACTGGAAATAGACACCAGTGGCCAGAATAAGCATGACCCTTTGCTTGTTGTGTTTTCTGATGACCAAAGCAGTGACAAGGAGCAGAGAGAGGAACTGAATGAAATGATTGCCCACGAGCAACTTCTGGACCTGGATGACCTTGGCAAGGATGGCTTTTCCAGCGAGCCTGGGGAAGAGGCCCTGCTGCAGATGAGGTCCAACATCATCTATGACTCCACTGCCAGAATCAGAAGGAACGCCAAAGGGAACTACTGCAAGAGGACCCCTCTCTATATTGACTTTAAGGAGATCGGCTGGGACTCCTGGATCATTGCTCCAACTGGATACGAAGCCTATGAGTGTCGTGGTGTTTGTAACTACCCACTGGCAGAGCATCTCACACCCACAAAGCATGCAATTATCCAGGCCTTGGTCCACCTCAAAAATTCTCAGAAAGCTTCCAAAGCCTGCTGTGTGCCCACCAAGCTGGAGCCCATCTCTATCCTCTATTTAGACAAAGGTGTTGTCACCTACAAGTTTAAATATGAAGGCATGGCTGTCTCTGAGTGTGGCTGTAGATAGAAGATCCCATGGCTTATTTAATAACTGTAAATGTGTATATTTTGTGTCTATTTAATGAGACTATTTAATGAGGGTGTACAGATAATAGAGGCTCGCTGCCTTAGGGAAATGGACAGATCTGTTTGTTGTAGGAAATGCATATTTTGCTATTCAATCTAGTCCTTTCCAGTCCGTCTTTCTTTGTAGTTGTCATTTCCTGACAATGCTGTCTCTAAGAAATGTTAGCCCTCCATCCTCCGTGTCACTTCAGAAACAGCATCCCCTAAGTAAAATACAATCTCAAAACACACCTGCTCGTGTATGCATGTATGAACTTAGGAAAATACTTTGATTCTATCAAGGCAAATTGTATTCACATACATGCATGATTCACTCAAATGTGCATATAGTAAAGGCAATTACTTTTCTGAATAGGATTTATGTCAACAAATTTGCATCAGGAATTTAATCATCCTAGGAAGAATTTCGTTTCAGACAAACTCTGGAAATGTAATTATAGCTATTGTTAGTTGAGTTTCTGCCATGGCTTAGAGCAGCTCTGGGGAAGGGGGTTTCATGCTTGAAGGGAGAGGCTGTTAAATGCAGAAACCAAATGGTTTTGAGAGGCAGTGGACCTACAGGTATGCCAGCAAAAGATGAGCCCATGGCACCGATGTGCTGTAGAGGGCAGCACCTGGTTGGGAAAGGGTGGCAGACAGGACTGCAGGATGAGCTCTGTTCCTCAGAAGATAGGGTGCCAGGCCATCAGTACTGCCATTGGTGCTGCAGAAGGTGAGGAGCTGGGAGAGGGAAAAAGAGGAAAAGGATACAGATGCTCCTCAGATGAGTTGGTAAAGTCATAAGCAGTTCTCATTAGGAAATTAAATCTTTTGGACAAGACAGAAAGTTCGAAGACCAAGAGAAGGACCATCAGGAGGGAACTGTTGATTGGACTCCTCACTTCTTAAAATACTTTTCTTCACTACATAATCTTCCCCCTTGTCTCTGTGCCTCTGCTTTCATTCGTTCCCATCTTGCACCTCCTCTGTGGCTTCTCTGCTCTCACGTCTTAGAGCCTTTTCCTGTTGTTCTATATACCTTCTTCATCGGCCTCTGTGACCCTGGCCTTTGCTTTTAGAGGAAATAACCACCTAATGTCTAGATTCCCCCTGGGGTTTAACTTGCTTTAATGGTATTCTTTTGACACGCTTTGGTCATAAAGAATACTTATGGATAACCAAAAGAAGAGTCAAAATCCATGTAGATGAATTAGTGTACAGACACACAAGAAAATGAGTTGAAAGTTAGCTTTGTATTTTGAAGTCGAATTTGCTCCATGGTGGTAGCCCCCTTGTTCCCATTCTGCCCTCTTTCCAGGTTGTGACTGACTAGGACTGAGGGGTGGAAAGTGCTTCCGATAGAAATGGACTGGTAGGCATTAGGTCCGCCCACCTGCCAGTAGCTGGAAGGGCATTGTATTTCTGGCAGCATTTGTAGTGCCCCCGTGTGGGCAGGTGGCCTCGGTGCAGGAGGACAGAGCAGGCCTCAAGCTGTGCTGGCGTCTTCAGGCAGGTGACACAGATGAATACAGATGTGCTTTCCAGTATATTTCTCCTCCTTGTCCCACTTGGAATCTGTCTTACGGGGTCTTACATTCTTTTTTTAATGCTGAGAAATTTTCAACTTCTTTTGTACAAACCTTTAGGAGCATAACTTCATATTGCCTTGGAAAACAGAGCTAAGAAAAGCCATTTTGAAGGTCTTTTTCTATCTCACTTCTAAGCCTCCATTTCAACCTGTGACTAGAGGACAAGTCATAGGGCATTTTTTTTTTTTTTTGCCGTAAGGGCAGTAGTATTTGCACTGCCAGTGGAAGTATAGTGATTGCCAATTTGTGCTGACCAGATGGCCATGCAACTCAGAATGCCTCAATTCTGGGTCAGCCTCCATAAAACATGAGGCGTGTGTGTGTGTGTGTGTGTGTGTGCACGTGTGTGTAGCTGACTGTGGATAGCCACTTGGTACCCTCAGTGGAAAATGGTGTGTCCTTTACATTCTACGGTACCCTGTGTACACTCATATATTCCATGGTACATCTCATCCTTCTTAAAAGACACTGTAATAGATATGCTGTAAAGAGCTATGCAGAGTAGTCTCTAGTACATTTTATTTATTTTATGTCTAAAATAGATGGCAATTGTGTGCTGGTAAATGCTTTATAACCAGCAATCCAAGACCCTGATCTATAAATTTCAGTAGTGTAAATTCTCCACCCTGCCCTATTTGAAACCACCACTGAGAAGCTAACTAGCTTGCAAACTTCCTCAAAACCTAACAGGTAGCTCCTGGGAGCTGTGTGTATGTGTGCTGGCCCCAATACACAACGAGGTGCCAGCGCCTGCTTTTGCAATCTCTACCAGGTTCCTGGAGAAACTTTGTCTTAAGCACTTAAAATCATCCTGCTATTAAAAAGTAAAAATTTAGGCTGTTCACAATAAGCCTGAATTTTTATTGGAAAGGGAGTAAAGAAAAACCACATATTGGTTATTCAAATGTTGTTAGTTACATTTATGATAGTACTAGTGTTTTCCTTCTTCTTATCAAACAATGAAAAGACAAAAACCATAAATAGAGGCATTCTCCCTGGTCTTATTGGTGCATCTATGATTCTTCTTCCCTACAACATTAATAGAAAGCCGTGGAACTGTTATTGTGAAGGCAGAACTTCCTAATATTTTTTTGGTCATACGTCTTCCATTATGCTCATCCTTCATTTCTTCTTCTTCCTTTTTTTTTTTACACCTTTATGGCATGATTATCATCACTGACGTTGATAAATCTAAGGACCTCATGAAGATAATTGTAGCAGAGGTACTTGGGCAGGCCACAACCAATAGCCATGTGAGTTTCAGGCTTCCTACTATTTATTGATTGATATATTTATTTTTGTAATATAGTGTAGAATACCAAATATTTTATTTTTATGTTTGTGTTTTGCTTTCCAGATAGAATAATTTGTGCTTTTTAAACAGTAGCCTTCTCCAGAGTTCAGCTCATTTGGAATATATTGCCTATACAGTATGTTCATCTTTCAGTTTTTGCATCAAAATATCCTGTTAGTTTAAGGAGTCTTGTTATCAGCTTACTAAAGTTTTGTATATTTGTGTCCTTAGGCATGCTGTGAGCCTTCATATATTTACTGATTTGTAAATAGTACAGGTTTAACTGAAGTGTAGATGTTCCAAAAAATATTTAACCAATAAATGTCATGTCGTTCCATAAACTGACATTGTTATTTTATCATGAGAGGAAAATATTGTGTCTGTGAGGAAATATAATTGCTACTTACTGAGCAGAGGTGAAGTTTGACTGGATCCCCCGAGGCAAGTGCTTCCTCTCTGAATGTGCCCATTACTTTTACTTATCCACCAATTTAGAGATCTGATTGGATAAAACTGTTTGCAAACAGACCAATTCTCTCCAAATGTCAAAAATACGAATTTAGCAGTTCCCTAAACAGACAGCCGCAAAGTGCCAATACTTTGCCAATATACAATTTTTGATCTGGGAAATTAATGATAAAATACTTTAATCAAAGCTTACTAAATATTTTGGAATTCTTCGTAGTTTATGTTCTTTGAGTAAAAGATATGTTTGTGCAAAGGAATTTTATATATTACTCTTCCTGAATTCACCAACAGACCATGAAGCCCAGCAGTACTCTGGACAAACTGTTTGTCATCGATCCCAAACACAGAAAGCCTGTTGCCCTGTGTGAGGACCCCAGATCTTTTTCACAGTCACTATGGATGGCACCTCACCTTTGCAGTTTTATATGCTCATGTGTGATAAAAAAGGAAGCACTATGTCTCTGTATTTTCTTGCCTTTAAACAAAAACAGTTGATTTCACACATCAGATGGAAGCAAAGTAGATATACTTGCACTGTACAATACTAGCAGCAATGGATTTTCTGCATGTGGAAATACGTTCACTAGTAAATAAGTCCGTGGAGAAATGATCACTTGCTGTGATCATGTTTCTATCATACACGCACCGCCCTGTGAGAGCTCTGGCTTGACTGTGGTGTGGATGCCGACCTAATGGCTTCCTTGTGGGAAGTCCATTTCACGCAGACACACCTGGGAAAGTAATCTTGACCTTGACACATCCAATCACATGTTGAAGCACAATCACATGTTGAGTAAAACAAATTCATTGCCCATGTCCAAATTTATTTAGTAATTATGAAGCTAAAATGAAGATAAAAATAAATATTTTACACTGTGTTCATAAACTAAATGTGTACATTCAGTGTCTTCTGGTTAAATAAAATGGAGAAATTATTTTGACAGTAATTATTGGCAACTTCTTTTTCCCTGAAGTATGTTTTCACCCCCTTCTCCTCTATTCTTTCTTTTACAAAAATAAAACAAAAGTACAACCACAGTGCAGAATGGGGCATCTTGTATCCTGAGTAGTGAACGGCCTGAAGAAACAATACGTTGTTCTGAGCTCCTAAGTGGTCTCCTTAGAGACAGGCATGCTGTTGTTATGTGGCTCTCTCTGTTCGTATGATGCTGAGTAAATCCCATGAATGCCAGAGTGAGACACAGAAAATGAAATTACCCATCCTTGTCAACAGTTGGGAAGCATTTCTTCTTTGAATTCTGAAGGAGGCATATTAAAGAGCAATTACTTTAGGGGAAATATTCAGGCTAAATTTTGCTGGTCTTTGATTATTAACCTTATCAAATCTCAGATTTAAGAATAGAAGTTTAAAGGTTATTTAAGTGGCCCTTTTGTCTCGAAGCATGCTGAGACACTTCACATTCCCCGCAAATATTAGTGACGAGAAGAGGACCAACTACTTCCTTGAGAGCACTGGTTACATTTTTAGAGGACTCTTCCTTGTCTGTACTCAGTTTGACAAATAGTTTGGGTTACTGTGCGGGCAAGTTACTGGCGAAGCACACAGTTAGTGGAGACTTGTTAGTAGTTCTTGCTTACATGGAACTGAAATCTCTCCTGGGACCCCTCCAAACCTCCTGGCTCATAATCTCTTACAGCCTCACACACCTCTCTCATCTACCATCTCCATGCCAGCCCCTGGGGCTTACAGATGGCTCTGCTGTCATTCCAGGTTCAATGTCCCATTCCCATCCGTGGTGTATGCTAAAGTCTGAAGGTGCCCCGGAAGCTGGTGTACTGGAAACTTAGTCTCCAAATTCGTATGTTAGTGGCATTAAATATTGGGACTTTGGGAAGGTGATTGGGTCATAAGAGCTCTTCCCTCACGCATGGCTTAGTGCATTCAAGAATTTATGAGTTATGCAGAAGTCCTTTATTACAGGATGAGCGCTTCTTGGTGTGCTTGCTGTGTATCACCATGTGATACCCACTGCCATGTTATGCAGCAAGACGGCTCTCACTAGATGCTCAGGAGCTGCCAGGTACACACTCACGGGCTTCTCTTCCTCCTGGACAGTTAGTTAAAGAAATCTCTATTTTTCATAGCAATTTATTAAGTTCTGAATAAATTACAGCAGCTCCTTCAGCTGATGCAAACAGGTGGAAAAGATCGCACTTGGGCTGGGCTGGCCGCTCGGGTATAGTCAGATCTGGTCAGTAGACAGACCTTGTTGCCTGTATCAGGATGGAGAATTGAAGAGCAGAGAGAAAGCCCACAGTGCAAGAAGATTCTTTCAATCAGACAATCATCCTGCAGCTCTTTTGAGGGAATCCTCCACTATCCTGGCTAACAGGCTGCGTTAGGCAACTGTGTTAGTAGGAAGCGTGATCCTCATCCATGGATGAGCAAATCAAAGGGAGAGAATTATCCAGACACGGAGGGGAGGGAGCTGAACACCAAGAAGGACTTAGACTAGGGCTGATCTGAAAGATGTTGAAAAGCCATTCTGGTGACTTGATTTTGAATCCTTTGGGAATCAATGCATCCTGTATTGTACATATTTCTATTTATAGATTTCTGTCATGGTGAGGGTCCTGAAAACATTCTCCTCCAGAAGTCTGATCTGAGCACAGCTACTCTGGATCACCTACCATGTTTTGGGGACACTTTTCTATGGATTCAGTCTCAGAATGCATTAGATAAACACACAGCTCTAAATCATTTTGATTATTTGCTTTACTTGCTTGTTTGGGTTTTGAGACAGGGCCTCACTACATAGTGCAGGCTGCCTTGAACTCGCTGTGTAACCTAGTCTGGCTTCAGGCTTGTGGAAATCTCGCTGCCTCAACCTCCTTCCTGAGTGCTAGGATTACAGATGTGCTGCAAGTTATTTTGGAGAGTAGCTTGTTTGCAAAGTAAGAGAAAAATTTATGATCAAAGCTCTTAGTACATATTTAGTAATATGTTTCTAGTTCTACGAGTGCTCCCACTATGAGTCAATTTTTGTAGCGTTGTGGGAAACAGTGGCAAGAGACTTGCATGTGACTCGAGGCACATGGATAAGAGCCCACTTTTGCAGAGAAGTGACTATTTGTAAATAAGGGGCCTATTTGGAGAAGGTGAGAGCTTGTTAACTTGGGTGGTTATAAATGGATTATGTGATTATCTTGGACTCACTCTCCCAAACTGTCAGCTTACAAGAACCAGTTCCTGCCTCCTCTCAACCTTTCTCAGACCATTCACAGGGCTTTAAAGAAGCTCATCCCAAAAGTCCCTGAAACGCAAGGACAACTCAAGCTGTTTTACTTTAAAATGTGACTCTGAGAATTTTAGGAAACATTCAGGATGCTTAATAGAAATTCAGATTTTTGAGGGAGGCATGGAAACCCCATTGTCAAACCAAGAGTCACTACAAAAATTTCATGCATGTGGGCCAATAATCTTGCACAGCATGAGAATGAAGTAGAAAATCTAGCTTTAAACCTTTATTAATTTTTCTGCCTGAAATGCGTAAGTTAATCTCATGGTCAGGATAACACAAATGAAGCCATTTGGAGAATGGTTTACAAAATGGGTGGCAGTCTTTAAATTAAAAAGTTGATAAAAGGCAAAGTCAGATTGGGTTACTGCTGGAGACTGAAAGAGACTAGTTTGGTGCTTGTGTGACTGAAATGGCATTCAAATAGGACCTGTGATCCTATAGTGGCTCCTAGATCTTCCAAAAGCTGCTAAAAAAGGGCATTATCTTTTTGCTGAGCTCAGTTGGTAGTATGTCCAACTTAATCAGTTGTAAACTCCCAGATCATATTCATTTTAAAAAGTCTTATTCATTTTTTTTTTTAAGTTGTGAGAATGTCTCTAGGAGGAGCCTCCAGACATTTGCTCAATGCATTGCCTAAGAAGCAAACAGGAAGCATTAAAAAAATCTTACCCCAGTTTGCAAACTTAACAAAAAGGATAGAGACAAGGGCAAAGTATCTTTCAGTGTGGCAAACTGATGCTACACCACGTTTTCTTGAAATAACCAAGTTCGACCCTCCATTCCCTGAAAGGAAGCCTGCTTTTCAGGCAATAAACCATCTGCTTCAAGTGTTTAGAAAAGGGATCTCCAATCGCTGGTAATTTAAACTTCCTTATACCCCAGTTCAATGTTTGATAAGGGAAGAGTGCTAACAGGATGGGAACTGAGTTACTATATTAAGAAACCCAGCCAGAACAGAAACCAGCCTCCTGCAGTTATTTTGTTTATTCTCTAGATCTATGTTTTAATTAACATAATATTTACAGGAGACCAGCTTCTCTTACGTCTTTTGCTGCAGCTGTCACATGTTTTGTTCTTTGTTGTCCTCTTTTTAAAAGTTCTTATAAAAATATATTTGTAAAATAAGTGTATGCAGTGAGCCACACCATCGCATTTTAGCTCCTGTCTTTTTGGTGCATTGTGAGGCCACATATTAGGTTCCTAAATAAATGCAGATGATTTGTTAGATTTGTATGTAAGATAAACAGTGAATAATTTGTTTAGTATAGGTAGGTCTCAGATATTGCGTACGACACATTTATATTGAAAACGTGGTCATTGTCTATCTGAAATTTAAATATAATTGGATGTTTCTGTTTGTTACCTATAGAAGGTGTTTCGCAGAAGGTTACTCTATGAAAGATCCAGAGAAAGATGAAGAAGTTTTCATCTCCATTTCTCCATGTGCTTTTCAGACGACCCCAAATCTGGCCCAGAAAGATTCATTGTCGAAGAGCAGCTTTGAGATTTGAGGCTGAAACTCCACTTGATTATAGTATTGGTTAATACTGCAAATAGCAGTAATTCCTGACACATCAGGCTTATCATTTCATATGTGAAGAGCTGAGTCACAGTGGGAGTAGGCCCATATCAGAAGTCACACAGTCAAGCAAGCCACCAACTAGGATTTGAACAGTGCGTCATGCTGCCCTCTGCTAAAAATACTCATTAGGTTTCCAAATCCCAATGGGTCATCTATTCTGTTTCTTCCTAGGATTATTATGGCCAATCTCACACCGTTTGGGTCTGGAAGAAGTTTAAAGATTCACTTTCCTGTGTGAGCTCTTTGACAACCTGCAGATCCTGTGACCTTAGGGTTTGTCACTTACTCCAGTATCCAGGGAACAGAGATCTAGCTTTTGTGCTTTTGTGCCATTGTGACTCTAGAGATCTTATTGGATAATATCTCATTACTGCCACATATGACTGTGCAACACGCATGCCCAAACTGTGCTTTGAACAATAACTATTCTGTCTTTTACACATGAGTCTCAGGTTGATTTGGCTCAGGAACAAGCTTTATCTCTGGAGTTGACATGAATCGGGTCATGCTGGGGCATCCTCTTGTGAAAGCACCTGGGTTGGGTCCTTTGGTCTCTCCACATGGCCACCTCAAAATAAGCGGGCATCTCATATGGCGGCAGAAAAATCCCAAGGTGTGTTTTGAGAGACAGAAGCAGAAACTATCACACTTCACCTCGAAGGCCACACAGCATCACTTCTTTCACAGTGAGTCTGCAGAAGCCAACTTGGAAACAGGGAGGGAAATTGAACACTCTCCTGCTAGGAGAGAGGTTGATGAATTTTCAGATGCCTTTAAACAGTTCCACAGATGGGATCTGAGAAACCTCTCAGTGGGTTGTCTGTTACCTGTATACTGTATCGTGATTAACCTTGAAGATGTGATCCAGTCCCTACTTAGCCCTAATGTCTCTTTTCCCTCTGCTAGACCAGGTCATCCACCTCTCTTTCGACCTCAAATTTCCCAGATGGGGCTCAGATTCAAATTCTTCACATCTCCCTTGCTTGAAAACATAAGAAATACAAATGAAGTTTTCTAATTAGAAACAACTCTCACTACATTTAAAATGAAAGGCAGCTACTCTTTCTTTCCCTTAATTACAACAATCAGAA